GCAACCCTGCATAGGGTTTCCGAGGAGCAGCTGGTGAGCTTGAACTGCCAACCTTGCAGTTCAAATGGCTTTACAGTCTGGCGCATTAAACCACAGCGCCACACCAGGACTCCAGCACAGCCCGTAGTGAGAGACAATTCATTCTTTGGCGGCAGACGGACCTGGATTTGAATCCTGGCATATTTGTTCCCTAGGACTGCCCTGACAAAGAACAAACTGAGTGACTTAAAACATTTTATTGTCTCATTGTTCTAGGGGCTAGACGTCTGAATTCATCATGTTGGCAGTGTCTTGCTCTCCCAAAGGCTGCAGGGGTAGACCCTGCCTTGTCTCCGAGTTCTGGAAGCCCTAGGTGTTCTTTGCTTTATGGCAGCCTATTTCCAGTCTCTGCCTCAACCTCTACATGTCCATCTAACCTCAGGTGTTTCTCTGAGTTTCTTCTCTTCCTTTTATAAGGATACCAGTCAAACTGGATTAGGACCCACTCATTCTACTGTGTTGGGGCAGGTGTGGCGTTGTAGGATAAACACTGGACTGGAAGGTCGGTTTGCATCGCAAGGTCAATGGTTCAAACTCACCAGCTGCTCTTTGGAAACCCTATGCAGGGTTGTGATGAGTTGGAACCTACTCAATGGCACTTAATAACAAAGCAACAACCCTACTTTAGCAAAGGGACCCTGGTGGCACAGTGGTTAAGTGCTCAGCTGCTAACTGACAGGTCAATGGTTCAAACTCACCAGATGCTCCATAGGAGAAAGATGTGGCAGTCTGTTTCCATAAAGACTGCAGCCTTGGAAACTCTAGGGGTGAGTTCTATTCTCATAGTTGCTATGAGTCAATTGGTTTTTGGTTTTGACTCGTGTATTACTTCTTCTTAGCTTACCTAATAACATCTTTAAAGATTCCAAACAAGATCACTTTTTGTACAGGGTCCAGGGATTAGGATTACTTTTGTTGTTGTTAGGTGCCATCGAGTCGGTACCGACTCATAGTGACCTTATGCAGAGCAGAATGAAACACTGCCCGATCCTGGGCCAACCCGCTACTGTTGCCATGCTTGAGTCTATCGATGCTGCCACTTGGCCAATCCATCTCATTGAAGGTCTTCCTCTACTTCTCTGACCCTTCACCTTACCAAACATGATATCCTTCTCCAGTGAATGGTCCCTCCTGACAATATGTCCGAAGTATGAGAGACAAAGTTTGGCCATCCTGGCCTCCAAGGAGCACTCTGGCTGTACTTCTTCCAACACGGATCTATTGGTTCTTTTGGCAGCTCATGGCACTTTCAATCTTCTCCTCCAACAACACCATAACTCAAAAGCATCACTTCTTCTATGGTCTTCCTGATTCACTGTCCAGCTTTAGCATGCGTATGAGGTTATTGAAAATACCATGGCTTGGGTCAGATGCACCTTAGTCCTCAAGCTGACATC